ATATTAGCATAATGCAGCCCAAATGTGCACGCAAAGAAAGAAGGCGTGGTTTCAGTAGTGTTGATGCAGCCATGTCAGGGAGACGCTGTGTGTTTCAGTGCGAAAGCAAACACACTTTATTTGGCCTTCCGGAAGTAGATACAATTAGGAATCATTGGTTAAGATTTATTTACAACAGAACAGCACGACCCAGATGTTCGAATTTGTGCAACACATTTTATGGACATTTTATGGATTTTTTTAACCTAGAAGAGTACAAGGCTATTTCTAAAAAAAGAGTCAATTCCGACTTTGCTATGACAATCTGGCGCTTCTGAATCAGCGACTGTAAGTATGTTTTGTTATTAGTTTAAGTATTTGCTATTGTTCAAATGCGGAGTTATGCGCAGCGCAGAGTAACGTGTCGTGTGTGTGTGTGTGTGTGTGTGTGAGAGAGAGGAGAACAGGGTCACATCACAGGAGAGTGAACTGCCTGTCAGAAATCATAGCACGTCAGCTGTCTTAACCGCGGCTTGTGTACTGCATCATCACTGTGTCTGTCACGCGACTCTGTTACCCTTTCGGGCTTGAACTGATGGTAAAACTAACAACATTATTAACGGTCTTGATATTTAATTTGAAAGCTGAAGATCGCGATTATGGTAAGGGGCGTTACATTTCCGACACGTGCTTGTGGTGTTCGGCCAATCACAATGCACTGGGTCTGCTGGCCAATCAAAGCAGACTGCGCTTGTCAAAGGAGCGGGCTTTGTTGAAAACGACGTGTTTGAGAGAGGTGGGGCATAGAGGACCTACAATAATGTACAGTATTTGAAAAATAATGTGTTTTTTGAACATTAAAGCACATTAAAGCATGTCAACATATTCTGTTACACCAAATACACAAAATAATGATCTTTAAAATAGCATCATATGACCCCTTTAAAATATACATTTGACATTTTTTACATTTATTTGGATAATATAGCAGAGATAAGCTGGGGCTTATACTTGTCTCACCCAAATCACTATACCAAGCTCTGACCTCTGCTCCAACATAAAATGAAACATTTCTCAGTTTTGTCGAGTCACTGAACATGTAACATCTGTGAAATGTTCCAGCTGAAAATAAATGAGTTCAGTAATCAATTACATAAACTTAGCCTCTATGTTAAGACTGGTTTAAGTGGAGTCGGGGCACTTGGTCTCGAACTGCAATTATGAATTAACTCAAATTTGGACGCTCTTGGGTGGCACGGACTCTAAAAATTTGGACTCAGAAGTACGGTTGAATCCACGTCAGATGTAACATGAAAAATAAAAAAAAAAAGTAAATAAAAAGAAGAAGAAGAAACAACAGGCATTTAGAAGAAGACATTTATAAACATCTCCCACTCAAACTCAATTGGTTAAAGACTTGGACTCGACTAATAATTAGGGCTGTCAGTCGAATAAAATGTTTAATCTAATTAATGACGTGTCAAAAAAAATTGACTATGAAAATACCAACAAAAGATTATTTAAAGCTATTTTTGTGTTAAATGAGAAAGAATCAAGTAGACATTACAAATTGTTGCTTTAGAAATAAATATTGGTAACACTTTCTATGAAGCCCATATTTATAATACATTATAATTATCATAGTTATAATGTATTATAAGTCTCATATCTTGCCATCTTTTGTATGCTACTTTACTTAAAGCCATCAAAGACCACTTATACGTATAGTAATAATAATAATAATAATAATAATAATAATAATATATATATATATATTTTTTTATTTTTTTTTTTCTCAAACAGCCATAAGATCAGATATCAGATCAGATGAATGTGTAGTAAGACATATTTGCTCTATGAAAATACCAACAAAAGATTATTTAAAGCTATTTTTGTGTTAAATGAGAAAGAATCAAGTAGACATTACAAATTGTTGCTTTAGAAATAAATATTGGTAACACTTTCTATGAAGCCCATATTTATAATACATTATAATTATTATAGTTATAATGTATTATAAGTCTCATATCTTGCCATCTTTTGTATGCTACTTTACTTAAAGCCATCAAAGACCACTTATACGTATAGTAATAATAATAATTATATATATATATATATATATATATATATATATATATATATATATATATATTTTTTTTTTTTTTTTTTTTTAA